CCCCTGCTGGCCCCGTCGCCCCTAACTGCCATCCCCTGCTGGCCCCGTCGCCCCCAACTATCTTCCTCTGCTGACCTGATTGCCCACAACTATCTTTCCCTGCCGGCCATTTTGTGGCAGCCATCTCGTGACTACATGGGGGTGGCTATCTTCTAACTGCCCTCCCCTGCTGGCCTGGCCGCCCCCAACTGTCCTTCCTTGTTGGCCATTTTGTGGCGCCCATCTTGTGACCACATGGGGGTGGCCATGTTAGACCACATGGGGCGGCCATCTTGTGCAAGGGTGTGACGGTCAATTTGCATATTACCGCTTTATTATATACGATAGCCAAAATATGGAAGCACCTAAGTGTCCATCAACAGATGAATGGATAAAGCAGGGTGCATACACAGACAATGGAATATTAGTCGGCCATAAAAAGTAATGCAATCTTGCCATCTGCAACACCTGGATGGGCCTGGAGGGCGTCGAAGTGTCCATCAACAGATGAATGGATAAAGAAGGGTGCATACATATACAATGGAATATTGGTCGGCCATAAAAAGTAATGAAATCTTGCCATCTGCAACAACCTGGGTGGGCCTGGAGGGCGTCACTGAGAGAAATAAGTCAGATTGAGAAAGACAAATGCCAGGTGATTTCACTTGTGGAATTTTAAAAATAAACAAGCAGATCAGAAACAGACTCATAGGTACAGAGGACGCTTTGACGGTTTCCGGATGGGAGAAAGTTGGGGGGGATGGATGAAAACAGTGAAGGGATTAAAAAGTACAAATGGGCTGTCACAGAAAAGCCATGGGATATAAAGCACACATAGGGAATATAGTCATTAGTCCTATATATTAAAAGCCTAATATGCTAAGTGTCTGGTCGTCCAGTCGTCTGCTCAACCAATCAAAGCATAATATGCTAATGATATGCCAAGGCCCCTTGACCACTCACTATGACGTGCCCTGACCACCAGGAGCGGATGCTCTGACCAGCAGGTTAGCTTACTGCTGCTCTATCCACCGAGCCAAACCAGTTTCGGCAAGAGAGAGCCCGTTTTAGCCTGATCCCGCAGGCCAGGCCGAGGGACCCCACTGGTGCATGAATTCATGCACTGTGTCCCTAGTGTATTCAATGATATTGTAATAACTATGTATGGTGTCAGATAGATACTAGATTTATCAAGATGATCACTTTGTAAGTTATATAAATGATTAATTGTGATGCTGAATACCTGAATCTAATATAATAGTTCATGTCAACTATAATTGAAAAATTAAAAAATTATATTAAAAAGAAAAGAAAGTGAGATAAAGTATGAAAAGCACAGAGTATACTAATTAGCACTGAGTGAGTCAGCAATAAATGTGAAGGAGAGAGGACTTACATATGTACTGTAAGAGGGGAGGGAGATTATTTTATATGAAATGGACTTACTAATTACACCAAAAGGAACATTTTATTTAAGAAATTTTTTTTAAATTCTAAACTTAGAGGAATTATAGTAAAATTTTAAATTCATTTTTTTGGCTTAATCTATTAAGCTGGATAAATTATACAGCCCCTCTGATATACATAGGATTAAAGCTATTGGGTTTCCAGCTGACATGCATTTGGGCTCAGGCAGTATTGGCCGACCCACCTGAGTCTCAGCCGCCAAGAATACTAGTATATAACTCTTGAAAGGAGAAAAATTGGGTAAGGAAATAAGTATCAGCTCATTTCATGTTAGAAAAATATTTAACTGTTCTACCAATTTCATCATTCATGAACATTAGTCAAGTGTGAGCATGGCTTTCATGTTTTTAAAACAGGCCAAATAGAACATGAATCTAACTCATTTCTACCAATAAAATCACCATTTTAATGGGTTCTCAACATACTCTCCAATTGGATGTGTTCTCAACCGAGTAGATAATTAGCTATGGAACCTGAGATTTAAAAAATCCAGAGAAAGAAGATAATTATGTGGCAGGGGAAAAGGATCAAGTTTATGTTCTCGGAAATTGTTTTCAAGTGAAAAAAAAAAATCACCCCCACTTCTTTGTTCTTTATTTGTGTGTGTGTTTTTTGCTTGTTTTTGTTTTAATCCTCACCTGAGGATATTTTTTTCATTGATTTTTAAAGAGAGTAGAAGAGAGAGGGAAAGACAGAGAGAAATATCGATGTGAGAGAAACACATCCATTGGTTGCCTTCTGCAGGAGCCCTGACCAGGGTCCTGGCTGAGGAGTAGCCGGCAACCGAGGTACGTGCCCTTGACTGGAATCGAACCTGGGACCCTTTGGTCGCAGGCCAACACTCTAGCCACTGAGCCAAACCGGCTAGGGTTCTATTTGTTTTTAAACCTCTGGGTTCTGCTCTCTTGCAATTCATCACCGAATTCTCAGAACATATTCTGAGTTAATGATTATTCAAGCTGACCCTTTGTTTCGTAGCTGTTATTCAAGAAGTGTTCCCTGGCTCAGAACAGGAAAGCAAAGCGGCCGTCTCTTTGCTGATATCAGAACACGCAGATCAAGCTTAGAAGGCTGTTGTTTGGAATGGCGACAGATTACTTGTGGATTGAAGGGATCCCTTTCCACACAACTACTATTAGAGACCTGAGGTCATTGCAGAATGAATTCGTGGTGAGGGATGAAGATGTCATCACACTGTCCTACCCAAAGTCAGGTAAGGAAGCAGGTTCAGAAACTGAGGAGGTGGGGAACTGGGTTACCAGTTAAGGATCATAATTCGCTATCTGGGGTGGGAGGATTCTCATGACTGACTCAGCAGGAGTCTTGCTACACGTGGCCGAGCAATAATGGGCACAGAAAGCCAACGTCTATATCTGGTCAAGAAAACAGCTCGGAGGAGTCTGACTAAAGTTTGGTCCCAAGGAGAGACTTTGTCAGCGTTGAGGAGAGAACAGAACAGGCTGGGTTACATGTGGTCCATATTTGAGAGACACCGAGGGCTAGTCAAGAACCTAATAAAACATCATGGAGAGTAGGGACCAGGAGTCGCAGGAGGTGAGAATGAATGTGTTTCAATGGAAAATTAACATGGAACCTGAAATTCATACTAAGGAATAAGGAAATTGTCCAAAGGTAATGGAATTCTATGAAAAACATTTAAACAGCAGAGAGACGAGAGCACATGAGCAAAGAGCACTAGGTGTTCCCGATGATGAAATTTTAAGAGCAAAGGATACGTAGGGGGCAGTGGATCAGATTAAATTTGACAAGAGTATATCAGTATGTGGCTCAATGGAAAACTATATTGAGGACTAGGATAGTGACAGAGAAATGAGAACCAAGCAAAATTTAAGCAGTGGGTTCACAGGGCTGTATTAATTGTTAGAATTAGGCAGCATTTCTGAATCATGGCACCATAGATACTTGGGCTGGGGTACTACATTTTGGGGGTATGAAGACATTACCGTTTTGACTAAGGAATGTTAACTATAAATAATGTAACTACTAAGAAAGTGTAACCAAAACCCGGATTCAGCTGCCTGGTGCCGCAAAAGCCAAACTCCTGAGACAGGGTGCTGGTGAAAAAGGAAAGGGGTTTATTCGAGTGCCAGCACCTCAAGAAGATGGGGAACTCTTGTCCAAAGCCCATCTCCCCACCTCAGTTCAGGCAGAGAGGTTTTCACAAGGAGGGAGAGGGAAAGCAAAACAAAGACATCAAGAGGAGGAGGTTGTAAAGTTCTCTACATGCGGGCCAGCACAGTGCATTCCTATAAGGAACTTGACCCTGGTCAGGTGATGGAATGGTATGCATCATCCTGCTCTTCATCATCCTGTTACATACGGTTGCAGGTCAGCAAATCTCCCGGATCTGGGATGAGTGAAAGTTGGCATCTGTATCTTCTGAAGTTAGTTCCTAGGATTCTTATACAAACACTAGAGGCCCGGTGCACGAATTCATGCACCAGTGGGGTCCCTCGGCCTGGCCTGCGGGATTAGGCCAAAACTGGCTCTCCAACATCCCCTGAGAGGTGCTGGATCGCCAGAGGGCACAGGCCAGGCTGAGGGACCCCACCGGTGCACAGTCAGGACTGGGGAGAGACGCAGGCCAGGCTGAGGGACCCCACCGGTGCACAATCAGGACTGGGGAGAGACGCATGGGTTGGCCAGCTGGGAAGGGACCACAGGAGGGCTCCAGGGCGTGTCCAGCCTGACTTGCTCAGTCCTGATCAGCCAGACCCCAGCAGCAAGCTAACCTACCAGTTGGAGTGTCTGCCCCCTAGTGGTCAGTGAATGTCATAGTCACTGGTTGACTGGTTGACTGTCTGCCCCCTGGTGGTCAGTGCACACCATAGCGAGCAGTTGAGTAGCCTTAGCATAGCATTAGCATATTACGCTTTGATTGGTTGACTGTACGACCAGACACTTAGCATATTAGGCTTTTATTATATAGGATGCTGCTTAGGTACAAACTACATATTAGTCGGAGTACAGAAACAATTCAAAAGAATGGTGGGGTGGGTCACAATTCCCCACTGTTACAGAGGGGCATTTGTGCAGTGGTTCGACAGTATAGTTAGTGTGTGAGCTTCACAGATATTTGGGCAAGACAATGCTTTCTCCTGTTGACCGGGCCAGGACCCATACACATAAAGCAAGTCTAAGGGGGCAGATGTAGCTGGGCAAGACAATGCTTTCTCCTGTTGACCGGGTCAGGACCCATACGCATAAAGCAAGTCTAAGAGGGCAGATGTAGCCCTCAGTGGAGCCAGGTTTGGCTCAGTGGATAGAGCGTTGGCCTGACTGGGGATTGAGCCTGCAACCTGGGCATGTGCCCTTGACCGGAATTGAAACTGGGACCCTTCAGTCCTCAGGCCAATGCTCTATCCACCGTGCCAAACCAGCTAGGGCAGATGTTTCTCTCTCTTCCTTTCCATTCCTCTCTGAACTCAATAAAATATATATATATATTTTTAAAAAGAACGAAGGATCAATCAAATGTGACTAAAAGGAAAACAAGATGAGAAATAAATGATCAGTTGGATGCATGGACATGGGCGTCCTTACTGAAGTAACACCATCTTTCAGATGGCACGGTGGGGTCAAAAGTCCTTTGAAGGAGGTAACGCTCTGTTCTTCCTTATCCAGGAACCAACTGGATAAAGGAGATCATCAATCTGATCCACACCAGGGGAGACCCCAGCTGGGTGCGGTCTGTGGTCAGCTGGGAACGGTCCCCTTGGATAGAGACCCCTGAGGGGCTTGAACTGATCAAGAAGCAGAAAGACCCGCGCTCCTACGCCTCCCACCTCCCCATGCAACTCTTCCCCAAGTCACTCTTCACGTCCAAGGCCAAGGTGAGCTCCTAATGTAACGCCACTTTCATACTCAGGCCCGGTGCACAAATTCATGCACCGGTGGGGTCCCTCAGCCTGGCCAGTGGGGATAAGGCCAAAAACGGCTCTCCGACATCCCCCGAGGGGTCCCGGATTGCAAGAGGGCGCAGGCCAGGCCGAGGGGGACCCCACCGATGATGAACCAGGCCAGGCCGAGGGACCCCACCGATGCACGAACGGGACCGGGGAGGGACCGAGGGAGGGCCCCAGGGCGTGTCTGGCCCGTCTCGCCCAGTCCCGATCAGCCGGACCCCAGCAGCAAGCTAACCTACCGGTCGGAGTGTCTGCTCCTTCCTTGGAGCCTAAGTAAATGCCTGTCATGTGGTGGGTTCTCCATGAATTCAGTGAAGTAGAGAAGATGAACTTCTAGCCAAACACATCAATGGGAGTGGGGTTTTTCTCCATTGGCCCAAATCCCGAGCAGGGGAAATGGGTACACTTATTCTTGTTATTTTGTTGTTGTTTTTTTCATTTAAGGTTATTTACATCATGAGAAATCCCAGAGATGTGATTATTTCCGGTTATCATTTCCACAAGACATTGAAAATTACCAAAAATCCAAATTCATTTGAAGAATATTTTGAATGGTTCCTTCGAGGAAATGGTGAGTCGGACTCAAAATGAGGTGGGGTTCCCGCCCTTCGCCTTCAGGTCTCACTGTCTCATGGTTGATACAACCGCCGACAATATGATATCGGTGTCATGAAACCTTTAACCCGGATTCTTGGCATCTTGGCATACAGTGTATGGCATCTCGTTATTCACAGAAAAAAACACACACAAAAAAAAACAAAAAACAAAGACATCGACTTCAAACTAGGTGGAATTTAAGTTTAGCTCTTTTATTCCCTAAAGAAATTCTCCTCAAAATTCAAAATCATTTTATCGCAGGTAGGTCTGGAACTCATCTTATAGTCTCCTATAGAGCACGCAGGCTAGAGAGCTCAGCCATCCATGCTACAGTTGTAAAATTCTAGTTTTTAAAATATATTTTTTATTGATTTCATAGAGGAAGGGAGAGGGAGAGAGAGAGAGAGATAGAAACATCAATGATGAGAGAGATACGTTGACGGGCTGCCTTCTGCATGCCCCCTAATGGGGATTGAGCCTGCAACCCAGGCATATTCCCTGACCGGAATCGAACCATGACTTCCTGATTCACAGTTTGAGGCTCAGCCACTGAGTTAGAATGGCTGAGCTAGAATTCTATTTCTTATGCAAACAAGAGGAAGAGAACTTCCAGCACTTGAGTCACTTGCTCATAAAATAAAATAAAAAAATAAGAAAGAGTAAAAAGGGAAAGCAAAGACACGCTGAAGAGCAACATCATTCAATAAAAATAGGAGAAAAAGAAAATTCCTAAGGCGTGGGTAACACCAGCAGCGTTGCCCAGGCAACGAAGCGCAGAATCATCAATGAGTCACCTCTCTCCTGGCTTCTCTTGCAGTGCCATATGGCTCATGGTTTGACCACATTGGCGGCTGGCTGCAGATGAGAGGAAAACAGAATTTCCTATTGATCTCATATGAGGAGCTGCATCAGGTAACTCTTGACCCCCAAAATGTCACTCTCCCCAACCCCATTTCTTAGCTGTCTTCCTCCCCTCTATTCTTCAATGTTTCCCTTCGACGCTTTCAATCAGAGCTGATCCCAGAAACGTGACCAATGAGGGTCATTGCCTTTTCTTTCTTTCTTTCTTTCTTTTTTTTAAAAATTAACCTCCAGTTGGCACATGTTCTTCCTCAGCTTTTCTAATTTATGTATTTTTTAAAAATATATATATTTTATTGATTTTTTACAGAGAGGAAGGGAGAGAGACAGAAAGTTAGAAACATCGATGAGAAACATCGATCAGCTGCCTCCTGCACACCCCCCACTGGGTATGTGCCCGCAACCAAGGTACATGCCATTGACCAGAATCAAACCTGAGACCCTTCAGTCCGCAGGCCGACGCTCTATCCACTGAGCCAAACCGGCTTCGGCCTAATTTATGTATTTTTACAACATTTAATGCATGCACCAAGGGAGTGCTCAACAACATCTATACTGTATGTACAGTGGGTTGTCAACGATTCTACGGCAAAACTCTGGGAACTGCCGGCTGCTGTGGCTCAGTGGTTGAGCATCGACCTATGAACCAGGAGGTCGCAGTTCGATTCCGGGTCGGGGCCATGCCCGGTGGTGCGGGATCATGCAGGAGGCAGCCGATCCATGATTCTCTCTCATCATTGATGTTTCTATCTCTCTATACCTTTGCCTTCTGCTCTGAAATCAATAAAAATCTTTTTTTTTTTAAATCTGGGAACCCAGGAGCACTGTCAGTTGAGGATAAAGTGACAGGTGAGGCTTGACTGCGTTACAACGGGTGCAGGAAGGAGTTCCATGTTCCAGATGGACTGACAAGAAGGGATTCCCGTACAAATTCATTACATCAATATTCATCGGAAGTGTCGGTTGGCATGAGAGGCAGGGGGCTCACCGGGATTTCACGCTGTATTTCTCTCTAAGGAGCATCTGCTCATAACCCTCTCATCACTCACGCACCCCTGTTGTACTTTAATTTCATGTTTTCTCTGTTGTGGTTCTCCTTCTAGGACCTCAGAGCCAGTGTAGAGAAGGTCAGCCAATTCTTGGGCACGAAGCTAAGCTCAGAAGAACTGGACTCGGTCCTCAAGAATGTAACCTTCCAGGCCATGAAAGACAATAAAATGAGCAATTTCTCTCTACTCTCCGATATCTATATGGATCAGAGAAAAGCATGTTTTCTGAGAAAAGGTGAGAGGGGTTCTAACTTTAAGATGTGGATGAAACGGACAGTGAACGCTTCCCAGCTTCTACTGATGCCCTAAGACATGGGATGAGGAAAATATTTCAATGTACACAGATCACATAAGCAGGACCTGACTTTATATAAGCTGAAGGGGGGATTTGGGGCATTTATTAGGTTGCGGGGAAAACTCAGCACCAAGAAGGCCTGCTGATCAGCCACACATTTCTTGTGTATTATCTGGTCCCGCCCATTTCCCCCTCATGTAGATGACACTCCTATCTACATATATAAAAGCCTAAGTGACCATCTGATCATTTGACTGTCCGACCGGTAGCTATGACGCACACTGACCACCAGGGGGCAGACGCTCAATGCAGGAGCTGCTGAGCTGTGGTGACTTGGCAGCTGCAGTTCTCAGGTTACACACCCAAAACCAGAGAGGAGGGAGCCCGATTCCGGGTGCATCACCTGAGAACCACGCTCTCGCCATCCGGGACCCCTCGGGGGATGTGAGAGAGCCGGTGTGGCCCAATCCCCACAGGCCAGGCTGAGGGACCCCACTGGTGCATGAATCCGTGCACCAGGCCTCTAGTTTTCTATAAAGAGTTTCCACGCACAGTGCTAGTATGAACCCCCCATAGGTAGAGTGACAATCTCCTCACATATATGGACAATGGGAATATCTATTCCACCAGAAGAAGCCTGACCATAGGACCTTTGTGGAGAGAAACAGGACAGAAAAGACCTGTGACTTAGCTCCAGCTGAGACCCCTGTGATAAAGACCAGACACGCCCACGACACTCGAGGAAAGAGGGTGTGCACTGCACAGACTGGATTTTACGGTCGAGTGGTGGGGAGTGTTGTTGGGTGCTACGCCAGCCACAGGTGGAGACTTAAAGGAAAGAAGATTGATTCAGGAGTCACAATCTATAGCAAGAACATCAGCCCGGCCGGTGCGGCTCAATGGTTGAGCGTTAATCTATGATCTCCTAGGAGGTCATGGTTCGGTTCTCGGTCAGGCCACATGTCCAGGTTGCGGGCTCGATTCTCAGTGGGGGGCATGCAGGAGAGACCTTATTTCTGAATCTGATCGGACTCATGTTTTCGTGTTTGACAGGAATCACTGGCGACTGGAAAAACCAGCTCACAGTGGCCCAGAGCGAAGCCTTCGATAAAGTCTACCAGGAGAAGATGGCCGGGCTCCCCCCAGGCCTCTTCCCGTGGGAATGATGGCCTCACGTGTCTGAATCGGGTGCAAACGCTGAATTTCCTGAGGTTCTTTGTGAACGGACTGCTCATACAATCTGTCATACACTTATGAACACCAACCATGTTCCTTATTAACCTTAAGCCAGTGGTTCTCAACCTTCTGGCCCTTTAATACAGTTCCTCATGTTGTGACCCAACCATAAAATTATTTTCGTTGCTACTTCATAACTGTCATGTTGCTACTGTTATGAATCCTAATGTAAATATCTGATATGCAGGATGGTCTTAGGCGACCCCTGTGAAAGGGTCGTTCAACCGCCACCCCACGGGGTGAACACCCCCACCGTGAAGGAGGCTCGTCTACCAAGCACACCGGGAGTGTGGACTTTGGAAGGGGTGTGCGTGTGCCATCACAGCATTACGACATGCAGTGTTTCCTCCACGCAGACCTGGCCCGGACAAGCCAACAACCACAGGAGCATGGCCAGCAGTAAAAACTAAAATTTGCCCTGACCGGTGTGGCTCAGTGGATAGAGCGTCGGCCTGTGGACTGAAGGGTCCCGGGTTCGATTCCGGCCAAGGGCATGTACCTTGGTTGCAGACACATATCCAGTAGGGCAGTGGTTCTCAACCTTCTGGCCCTTTAAGCACAGTTCCTCATGTTGTGACCTCCAACCATAAAATTATTTTCGGTGCGACTTCATCACTGTCATGTTGCTGCTGTTATGAATCGTCATGTAAATATCTGATACGCAGGATGGTCTTAGGCGACCCCTGTGAAAGGGTCGTTTGACCGCCAAAGGGGTCGCGACCCACAGGTTGAGAACCGCTGCAGTAGGGGGTGTGCAGGAGGCAGCTGACAGATGTTTCTCTCTCATTGCTGTTTCTAACTCTCTATCCCTCTCCCTTCCTCTCTGTAAAAAAATCAATAAAATATAGTAAATAATAAAATAAAATAAAATAAAATAGGGCCGCCCTGGCCAGTGTGGCTCAGCGGGTGGGGGCATCGTCTGGCGCACAGAAGGGTCGAGGGTTCGATTCCCGTTCAGGGCACAAACCCGGTCGGGGCGTGTACGGGAGGCAGTCGATCGCTGCTCCTCTCTCACATTGATGTCTCTCTCTCTCTCTCTCTCTCTGTCACAGCCCCATCGCTCTCTGGGGCTCACACCCAGCCTCCCGCACTGTCACCTGTCCCACCTGCACCTGAGCTGAGTCCGAGGACCACCCATCCAGAAGCAACACAGCTTCAGAGCTCGGAGGAGCCATGGCAGGAGGGTGGCCCCAAACTTGCGCTGTCCGACCACTAGAGGGCGCGCGAGCACCACCGTCCAGCAGCTCTCAGAAACGCAGGTCCTCTATTGAGGTCCTACTGTGTGCTGGGAGCAGGGAGTGTTACCACCTCAGGTCCTCACAAGCACCTTCCACGCGGCAGACCAGGAGGGCGGCTCAGAGAGCGGCGCTGTGACTCAGTGTCCCCGTTTACAACACCGGGCAGCGCATCCCCGAGCTGCCAGAAGGTCTCAGTGAGAAAACAATGGGCCACATGTTGGCAGAATTTCTGCTGCGTCATCATCGTGTGTGCTCAGCAAATGGCATTTGGTTGTTTATTTTTAAAAATATATATTTTATTGATTTTTTTACAGAGCGGAAGGGAGAGGGATAGAGAGAAACATGGATGAGAGAGAAACATCGGTCAGTTACCTCCTGCAAACCCCCTACTGGGGATGTGCCCACAACCAAGGTACAAGCCCTTGACTGGAATCGAACCTGGGACCCTTCAGTCTGCAGGCTGACGCTCTATCCACTGAGCCAAACCAGCCAGGGCTAGTTGTTTATTTTATTTATTATTTTATTTTATTTTATTAATTTCAGAGAGGAAGGGAGAGGAAGCGAGAGATGGAAACATCAATGATGAGAGAGAATCATGGATTGGCTGCCTCCCGCAAGCCCCCCCATTGGGGATGGAACCTGCAACCCGGGCATGTGCCCTGACCAGGATTGGAACCCTGACCTCCTGGCCCATAGGTCTACGCTCAACCACCGAGCCACACAGGCTGGGCTGTTTCATCCCTTTATAAGGGCGCCAATCCCATCATGGTGGTGGGGGGGCGGGGCTCCCCATGACCTCATTCAAACCCAATCACCTCCCAAAGGCTCCACCTCCACATGCCATCACATTGGGGATTGGGGCATCAACAAATGAACTTGGGGGGACACGAACTTTCAGTCCTAGAACCCAATGCCGGCAGCTGGAAGAGGCTAGTGGAGTGTTCCCCACTGTTCATTTCCGGGAAGTCGTGACCCCACGGTTAGTTTGTGGGGAGGGGTTCGAGACTGAATGAAGCCTTAAGAAGGGGACGAGCAAAGAACCCCCCCTCTTTAGCATCGAGGAGTGAAAAGCATTAACCAACGTTACAGCCTCCCTGATCAGCCCCAGACTCTTAAAGAGGCTGGTAAACGTTAGCTGTTCCCCCATACACTTACTCCATTGAGCAGCGGTTCTCAACCTGTGGGTCGCGACCCCTTTGGCGGTCCAACGACCCTTTCACAGGGGTCGCCTAAGACCATCCTGCATATCAGATATTTACATGACAA